AATCAGAATTTTTGCTTTTATTTTGAAAGTTTTTTTTTAAAAAACTCGAAATTTCTCGTAAATTTTTGTTATTTAGCTTGTTAACTTGTTTCTATAAAGCTAAAGAATATTTTTTTTCGAAATTGTCATGTCAAGTATGTGAACATTTTAAACGAGGTTTCACTGTTATTTTGTTATTATTGTCCTTTTTCTTTTCATAAATATTTAGTAACAAATATATTTTTTTTTCTTTTGCACAATTCGTATCATTTATTTTGTTAAGATTTTGAAAAATGAAATTTTTATGGTATGTCCTAAATTGGATATTTTTTTCTCTGCAAACGCATTTAATTTGCAGCACTTTTAGTTTGAAATTTTTCAATTTTTCTTTTAAAATTAAAAGTGATTTGGTTTTGTATTAGATTCCAATAAAAAATAGTTTATGTTCATAAATATTGCGTTTATGTATAATTATGTATGTATATAACAATTTATATAATATCTAGGTTTTTTTCTAATTTATAAAATGCAATGCTTAAAATAAAATGTTTGTTATCATAATGTTGTCAAGTTACAACGATTTAAAAAAAAAACCATAACTGTTTAGATGAATGGAATTTTACAGTTTTTAAAATTTATATTGTATATATACATATACAGGGTTATATATTTATAAATTTAATTGTTAATAATTGGTCACTTTGTAAAAATTTTGACATTTTTTTTTAAACTTATTTCATCAATAACTTTTTAAGTAATGCCTCAAATGGCACACTGTTTTCTTTATAATAAGGAACTACTTTTCAGCTTTCCATTGCATATTAATCTTTTTAAATTGGCTAATAATTAACACTAGATTTACGGAACCCGTAAATTTGACAGGTTTACGATTTCATGCCTTAAAATTCTGAATTTCCATTTATATCCTCCGAAAGACCTGCATTTTATTATATCTGTTATATACCTATTTTTACGGTAATCCGCCAACTATACGGGGTGCTTAATTTACGAACTAAATTCTGAATGGCAGCCATCAATGCCTGTATATTGTACAAGGGGACCACTGGAGTAAAAATATCTCGGAAGAAATTTATTTTTCAATGGGCTGAAGAACTAGGCAATGATTATCGCGACGAAAAAAATACAAGTTTAAATTCAGTGTCTGTTGTATAAAATACAAATGTGCGAAAAACTTACCAAATTGGGTTATGTAAAAAAAATAGGTCCAATAACATTTGCATTAAATGTAGCAAATATCTATGTGGAAAGTGCGTATCCAAAATAGAGTTTACATGTAAAAAATATAGTGAAAACAGCTGTGAATAAAAAACTTTTGATTTAAAATGAAGAGGCTTCCAAAAATTTGTATTTTAATTCACCCGTCAAAAGACGGACTTCAGTAAAAATAGGTATACAGCCGATACCTGTAAATCTAATGTTAAGGCAGTTATAGCAATTAAGATCGATACTCATTTTTATCGAAACCAAAAATTTTCAACCGGGATTTTGGGGTTTAAATATTCATTTGCCGGCCCTTCCCCAGGAACATTTTTTTTCCATAAAATTGTTCCAAATTTCTGGTTCCCAGAGATTATGCCACGTTACAGCTCCATCCTGTATAATATACGCATATAATATAGAAGTAATTTAGTAACCATATTTAGATGAAATTAAATTTTAAAATTCTTTATTAAATAAAAATGAATAAGAAACAAAAATTACTTGCGGAAAAAAAAAATATATATATAGGAGATGTTTAGATTATTCTTTTTTTCTTCATTCAATTAAAAATATTTAAAGAAAAAATACGACAAATTAATTGAATAATAGAAGAACGACAAAATAGTTTGGTTTAATTTTTATTTTGGAAATAATTTAATTTTATATAGTTGTAATTAATTTTTATTGTATTATTACAAATTTTATATTGCCTTAAATACAATTTATATAAGTGTATGTATATATATATAAATAGAGTTAAATTAAAGTTTGCAAAATAACGAGTCTACAGTGAATTTAAGAATTTCAAAATTAATGAAAATATTGAAGAAATTATTATTTTTTATTATAATTTTTTTTATTTATTAAATTTAATTGAATTTCGATTGAATTTGAATTTGAAGATATGATAAAATTTTGAATTTATGGGACAAAACAGAGGTTCTATAGTATTTGAAAAATTTTTGAAAATTGATAATCATGGGCTTTTTTTAGGTATTCCAGTTCTTAGTTAGATTTGACATGCAGTATGTTTTTTATTGAAGAACTGCAAATTTGTAGTATTCGATTTTGAAGTATTGTTTTGCAGTATGTTCTGTAGCTGATGCTACAAGTAGGATTTTAAAAAAGCTTCAGCATATGAGTAGTTTAATTGTAGAGTAAATAATTGCGTTTTTAATAAATTTTCAAATAAATTCGTGCTCCATTTTTTCTTAATTCTTTATTTGAAATTGATTAATGACTTTTATTCTGACACATAAAAGTGATAGCGTCAAATTTTGTAGCGCATCATGCAATACCGAAAAAGCTCTATGCTTCTCATTTTATTTATAAATTATTTAAGCGTTTTATTAATTAAATTTAATTTACAATATTAGGGTATTCATATAAAACAGTAATAGCAAATCTAGAAAACTGGAGGAGCTTGATTAAAATTTTTGTTTTATAATTTTGTCTTCAATGTATACCGCACAAAAGATCTAAACTAATCGAACGGCTGAAAAGTTACGAATTGAAATGAATTAGATTTTTACATTATTTTCATAAAACTCAATATGTTAGACTGGTTACAGACTATGGGTTAAAATTTTATATTTAAAAATTTATACTTACTTTTTTCAATCAAGTTTCCATCTTAAGTCTTTTGTTTTTTGATTATTATATGAAATTTGGTATTTGAATGAAAATGGAAGCTCATTGACGGAATTAAAATAAAATTGTCATATGGATGGTCAGTAACTAGAATTTTAATTCGAACTAAATGTATTAAAACTCTTTATATGAGTATTAAAGACAGGATAGTGTGTGTAATATAGTATTTTTTTTTTTCTCAGATTCTCCAAATACTCCCGCAAATTTAGCTTTATACTGCTGTTAAATAGTAAGTAATTCCAATATTATCCAACTAGCCATATTGTTTAATTAATTTTTGTTTTGTTTTCAATTAATTGACTAGTATTTTATTTATTTCTCAAAAAGTTTATTCACCCTTTTGTATACGCTAAATTGCTTTCCAAAAGCAGACATTTTTTCATATAATTAAGTATAAAGAAAAGTAGATCTCGTCCAATACATTTCTCTATTATCGGGAATAATGTGACAGTGTGACAACTCTCTTAATATTGTTCGCTTTGAAGTTTAAGTATAGTTCAGATTTTGAAGGTGTTTTTCACTCTTTTGGAAAACATATTGAAAAAATTTTTTAAATAAAGCGCGTAAAAAGGACGTACCACTTTACAATTTTATGAGTTAAGGAAATAAAGGCTATAAATTTCTAATACTCACTAAAGAACACGTTCATCGTGCTTATCATTGTAGTTGAGCGTAATTAAAATAATAAAAAATTTTCCTTTTTATTTTATATACTGTTTATTTGATCCCATTATAGTTTTTATTTCATATTTTTGAAATATATATATATATATATATATATATATGTATACATATGTGTTTTTATATATGTATATAATTCTAATAAATTTTTAGGATTTTATAAATTTTATTTTTAATATAAGTTTTTCTTTTTTATTTATAATAAGTTTTTTATTTTAATTTTACAAAATATTTTTTTTTTTTTAGTTTTTGTTTTACAATTAATTATTTTTCTTAATTAAATTGTAATAATAAAATTTATATTGAAATATTTAGGTACATTTAAATTATTTTAAATATTAATGATTAGCATTTCACATATAAATTAATAAAACTGATAAATTTGAGTGAAAGCAAAGAATTGATAACAAGATAAATTGGAAGAAAAAAGATAAGGTTAAGATAGGCTAAATGTTAACTAAATGGAATGAGTCATTAATTTTTGAATGATTTATTGTGTGAATTTATGTGATACTGGAGCCTCTATTCTATAATAGAAGGAGTTAATTACAGAATTGAATTTAATTACAGCTTGGTTCAGTGTCTCACTCTTGTTGTCATATTTTTTTACTCATTTGTTGTAATTCCGAATTCTTCGATTTTTTTTTAATAATCGTTCTTCTCACTTGAAAATTACACATATAATAAAGAAGATTAATTTTTCTCACTTTTATAATTCAATTCTTAAAAGAGATTCTTCCATTTCTTCTCATTTCGTTAGTAAAAGAGAGTGAGATACGTTGAAGTTGTTTTAGATTGTGTGAGTATAATATAAACAATAAATTATTCAACAAATCTATTTAGAGTATTTTTATGACTTGTGCTGTAGACCTAATGAGTCTAGCTGATTAGTAAAATTTAAAAGTATATTTGAAAATAGAATAGTGCATTTTGTGAATTCAAAATTTTATTACATTTGCTTTTTATTTTATTAGATTTAGAATTGAAAAAAAATAATGAGAATAAATACGTAGCAAAAGCGCATATTGGTCTTATTTTTCTCTACAAAATAGAAGATGATTAAATACATTACAAATTAATTTTATTTAACTCAGTTTTTTTGAAAAAAAAAAGTAAAATTCACGAATAATTTTTGAATATTAATGCACAAAAATATGAATAAGACGATTAAAGTAATTTTCTTATTAACGATAAATGTTATTGAAAAATTGCATAAATATAGGGGCAAACATTCTCAAATTCAAATGGTTTAGTAATAAATTTGTTAATTTAATTGTTAAACTGCAAAAAAAACTGGTTTTTGGAACAGTAATTACAATTTTTTTTAACTCATTCTTTCATAGAATACAAATTGGCACAGATTTTGAAAATCCTGGTTGTTATTCTGAAAATTGGGTTGTAATTTTTTTCAAAGTGATTTTTGAATACTAATTTTGTTTGAGGTAAGTTTAAAGCTTGTATTCATATTGACACGGTGAGAAAAATTGGGTTAAATACTATTTTAATAAATGAAATGTGATTCTAATGGTTACCATTCTAATTACCTTTAAAAAATTTTGACATTTGAAATTTTTGAAATTGAGATTTTTCTAATTACCATACAAATAAAATTTCCTAGTTGCTGTTGTTTGTTTAATTTTGTCATGTACTCGTATATGCATTATTAGAACATGTGATTTATCATGAAAGTTTTATGAAGTATTTAGTCAAAATATACGCTCAAAATTATAAACTGTATAGCTCTATTGGAATACATTTAATGGAGTATATGAGGCGTGGAATAAACGAATTCAATTATTTCTTTCCAAGAAACCTCTTACGTATTAAGTTTAAAACAATATACAGGGTTTTTGCAGAACAAAATTGAAACAGAATTGGAATTCAAAATGGCAACAATTCAAAATTTCATGAAAAATAAGAAAAAATCAAATTTGTAGAAAAATTTCACTCAAGTACATTCAAAATTCCAATTTTGCAGAGTGTTTCTGTCAAAAGAACTCGAAACTTATACCCCACTCCCATAATTTTACGATTTTATTTTGACATTTTCACTCTCATACAGTTAAAGAGAAGTAAGAGAATTTTTAAAGAGAAGTAAAAGTTATTAAAAATTAGTTGACTCTCTATATTTTTTTCTATTATATAAAATAAAAAAATTTAATTCTAAAGATTTTATGTAAGATCAGACAGGTTAGTGTGTTTGTTATTTAAAAATTATATATATGATATGCATGTATATGTAGTGTTATATTCAAAAACAGTAAGCTAAAAGAGTAACTGGTAACAACTATGTAGAATTTTATTATTATTGTTTTTTTGCTTTTTTATGAGCATATTATAAATATTTTATTTTTACAATTTCTTCAATTTCTTGAATTAAAACAAAAAAATTATATTTTGGTATATTGGTAAATAAAATTTTTAGATTGTCTTTTTTTTTTTTAATTAGAAATTTCTTTTCTATTTTAGTCCAGAAAATAGAAATAGAAATTTTTTTTTTCACTTTTCATCTTAGATTTTTTTTTTCAAAATTTTTATATTTATTCGTATTATAAATGTTATACCCGTGTATAACAGTTTATATAATATATATATAAAAAAAAAATGTAAACAAATGGACGCATTCCAAATTTTAATATTTTTTTTTTTTTAACTTTTAATAATTTCTATTTTTTTTTTTATTTTTTTTTAACTCAATTTATAATCACAATTTGTTTCTTTTTTTTTCCTATTTCGTTTCAAATATAGTGTATAACAGTTTATTTATTATTATTATTATTGTTTTTTTTTTCATACAACTTGAACTGTTGCAAATGCACTAAAAGTCACTTTCTTTGGATATTCAGGACCAGGTGAACCACGTGTTTTAATAACAGGTTTTAATGGTTGACGAGGTTTTAATGATACTAAACCTGCTGATGCAGCTAATTCACGTAATTTTTGTGAAAATCCCGTTGATGATGATGATGATGTGGATCCTGTTGTCGTCGATGATGATGTTAAACTAGAATTTGAATTTAAATTTAATGGAGTATTAATGATACCAATACCGTTGCTATTTAATGATGATACTATAATTTGTTGTTGTTGTTGTTGCTGTTGTGATTGCTGTTGCTGTGATTGTTGTGATTGTGTTGCTATTGTATTACCATGATTTGGTGATGTTGATGCTAATATAACTGGTCTAAGTTGTGATGTTGTTACAATATTATTTGTACCATTTGTTGTTGATAATACATGATGCTGTGACACTGGATTCATATATCTGAAAATTAAAAGAAAAAACAAAAATAAATTATTCATATAACAAAAAAAAATAAAATTTTGAACTTAAAAGAAATGTTAAAATTTAAATCTGTGGGTATGTGTGTGTAATTAAAATGTTTTTTTTATTAGAAATTTCAATTATAATAAAATTAAATATACAATGAGCATGTTTAAATTTTTTAAACATTAATTTGCACTTATAAGATTTATTAGTAGAGTTTTTATTTGTCTTTAAATTATTCAAATTAGATTCCATTCAATTTTCAATTTGATACAAGTGATTTTTGTAAAATTACATTTAAATTTTATAGCAATTTAATCTAATATATCGAATAGAACAGATTGGGTATTTAAAAATTTTTTCTCTCAAATACGCCAATCTGGAAGTTTTAACTCAACTGAAGGAATCTTGTCCTGACCAATGATGCAGTGGTTATTTCACTCGTCCTTTAACTAAAGGCTCTCAGATTCAAGGCTGGTCGCTATAAAAATTATACTCAATAACATGTTTCCATAATATCCAATATTACAAAAATACCAGCAAAATAAATGAATGAAATCTACGATAGTCTAGTAAACCCAATGATATAAGAAGTTTATCTATACGACATTATGCCCCGACAGAAAAAGAAAAAAATGAATCTCCAAATTCACGTATAGTTTGAAATCTAAAAATTTTATTTCTCTGCACTGAACAATTTGTATAAAATTTATAGGGTTCAAGAAAAAATTACTTGTAAATTTGAATATACAGAGTGATTCAGTGATAAGTGACATAACATTATTTAGGGCATCAAAAATAATTAAAATTTTTGTTCAAAATTATGTGTCAAATTCGAAATATTTCCGGCGTAAGCAGGGATTTTAATGATCTTACACGAAATTTCTACTTCACCAATTTTTTTTGTTTATAACTTTCGTTCTGAAAAAGATAGAAGCTTTAAAACAAGCAATTTTTGAAAGGGGTATAAAAGGGCTTGAAAACAGTATAATACTTGCTTTTCCATTTTATGTACTTACCGAATATCAAGCATTCCAACTATCGGAAAAAATCAAATTATTAATTTTTTTAGTTTTCTCTAACCAGATAATTTTGTATGAAATTTTTTGAATTTTTTTTTTGGAATTTGCCCGAAGAGAATATACCACGTTACAGGTTCATCCTGTATCTATTTTTACTGGATTTAAACCTCTATTTGCAGTATTATTATGTTGGTACATTTTACGTTCAACAGCCTGTTATAGAATTTATTTTTAAAGCCCAAAATATAATTAGAAATCCTAGAGGTGCAATTATTAGAACAATATTTTAATTATATGATAATTGATAAGAAATTTGTGTTTGAACTAATGAAAATTGTTTAAAAAATTAAAGCTTTTACCTTATATTTATTGTTTACATATAAGTTTAATATAGTTCTCCTATCCAACACATACAAGCATAAAACAGAAAACGGCGAACTTCCCCCAAAATAAAATTAATTTACAAAACAAAAAATTTTGCTAATTAAAAATAAATCATTTACGTTGTTTCACCTTGAAAAGGTGATATTGTTAATACTAAACCGCGTACTGAATAATATATACTATATACACACGTATATATGGATGCCAAATACATATGTATAGGAGTAAAACAATAACAAGAAAAAAAATTTGTAGAAACGACGATGGTAACATGAAAAATAACTTTTGTTTTTTTAAATTTTATGAAAGATGTCGTGCCATATTATTTTTATTTAAAAAAAAAATTTTAATTTGCATTTTTTGTATATATGTGAATCTTCGTATTTCTATCATTTGTTATAAAGTATACTGTCGTAAAGGGAATGGTATTATAAAATTATTTTGAGTGTAGTAACAATTTCTTTAATTTTCCATGTAAGAGAATTTAAGAGTTTTATTTTTAAAATTATATTTAAAACTTTATAATTAAAAAATTATTTTTATTATTGTAAAAAATTAAAAATTTAATGAAGACAAAAAGGACAACTTATAAACCACTTTAGTAAAGGCAGGCTCTTTATGGACCCGATGAAGGAAATCCAATATGACTTAAAATTAAGTTTGTAGTTACAAAATTTTTATATGTTCCAAGTATAGTTACAATATACCTAAAATTTTTACCATATCTTGCCCTCTAAAAGTTATAGTCCCCCAAAAACCCTAAAAATACCATTTCTCGACTATTTAATGTAGCGAAATTATAAGCATTTTTCAAATTTTGCAAACGCAAAGATACAGCGGCTGGCTTCTTCTACCGCAGCGTACTATATTTTGAGCTTCAAAAAAAAAGCAATATGGCCATTAAACTTTACTATTACTGTTAATCAGTTTTTTCCAAATTTAAATATCGTTTTTCTTCCAAATTGCGGGTTGTAGGAATTTTAGTAAAATACATTTAGACACTAATAAATAGTTCATTTCGTTAGAAGAACATTTTTTTCCATTTCAACTATCTCTCAAGTTATCACCTCTTGAAATTTGTAAAATTGCAATTTTTGGCATCTTATAATTCCGAAACTCAAAGGCTTTCCAAATTTCTATAAATGCACATTTAAAAAATTATTATTATTTTTCTTAACTTATGTAATTAATCCTTAAATTCGAACATTATTTTAAGGCCTCTTTCGATTTTTTTTTTTTGTCTCATCCTAAATGTATGCAATCTTTGAAATATTTTCGTATATGATTGTAAGGTAATTTTGTAATGTAATTAATATCTAAATTGTTTTTAAAAGCAGTATTTTCACTTGTCGAAGGCCAAAGTGTTTTCAGTCAAAGTTAAATGCATCCTTTCATGGGATATATAACAGAGATCTTCAAGACTTTGACAGGTATAACATATGAAATATGAAATAATTTGTTTTTGATTCTTACCTCTAACATAATTACCTTGAACTTGAGTACAAAATGTTCACTTATTAAATTCAAATAAAACCCCATAATATTCAGACCAAATATAAAAATTTTTCTTAAACTTAATACAATAAATAAAAAGTTTTGTTTCATTATTAAAGCATGTGTGTACACTTGTATATCGTTAATATTGTTAATCAAATTTCAACTCGAAAAACTATAAATTAATGAAAAAAAAAAACCGGTCAATATAAATTTGTATAAAATAAAAAGAGGAAATAAAAAATAAGACAATTTGGAATCTTTAGAAAATTTCGAAATTTTATTTTTGAATTCATTAATAATGTATGACTACAAGTTAATAATTTTGTTTGTGTAAAAAAAAACGACTTGCCGTAACTTCTTCTCTTAAATTAAAAAAAAAAAAAACAAGAAAAAAAAGCGTTTTATTTGTTTTTTCGTTTTGCGGTTTTTCAGGTTTTTTAATTTTTGATTTTTGGCAAAATTTTTGAAAAATAATTTTTTTTATTCTAATTTTCGTATACCTATATTTTGTATACCAATATTTCATTGCATTATAATAGTTATAATAAAAATTATTAAAAAAAAATATTTTGACATTTAAATTTAACGGAATTGTAAAGAAATATAAATAAAATTTTGATAAATGACCCAATTTAATGTCATCAATTTAAATCAGATTGATTTTTAATGTTATACTGAAAAATACACTTGTACATATGTATGTGCAAATAATGCCTAGATTGTCAAAAATTAGTTAAATGTTAGAATTTGGTTATAAACATAATCAGGATGCAATAATGGTTTTCAAAATTTGCAAAAATTGCTAAATTTTGACTAGCAAGGCTAAACCGAGCGAAACATTTTTTTTTTACTTTAAAGCATGAGGTAATCAAACACAGTTTTAAGGATTTTGTGTATAAATATATGGAACTTTGTTATAATAAAGTAAAAGTTCAAAACAGAAAAGCTTCCTTTTATTATTATGCAGGTATGATTCACTAACAAGTTTCGAGCAATATAGTATCAGATAGACGGTCGAAAATTAGACAATTTTTTGTCAAAATAAAGTGTCAAATTAGAATCGTTTCGGAGTTACAGGGATTGCAAGAAAATTTGTTTTTTTTTTGCTTATAACTTATAACTTCCGATCCAAAAAAGAAAGAAGCTTCAAACAAACAGTTTTTCAAATGCCTAGATAATATTTTACTAATTTTCGCCTATTTAGATGATGCATGGCTGCTAACTTGTTGCTAAATCATTTTGTATACTTTGTAAGAATAATTGAACAGTCGTTTTAATAAGTATATAATGCAGTTTAAGATTACTGTTATTATTACTGTTATTTTAACTTATTATTGATACTGATCCCAATTGAATTTGTTTTGTTATTTTATTTGTCCAATATTTTCTACATGGACGATACCATATACATTGTTATTGATTTTTCTTTAAATTTTAGTTTCAAAAGATAAAATTTAATTTGTTCTTAAAGATCGGTATAACGCTTGAATCTTAAGAACATAATGTGCTAAAAGTTCTCATACATTTATGAAAAACCGTATTAAGTAATGTGTTTCCCATATAGTGTTAATTATGTAAATTAAATATTTTTAATAAATGCATTCATTCTTAAAATACGTATATGAATAAAATTTATTTTAATTGTTATGAAAACTAAATTGTAGATTGTAGATTTTAAGGGAACTGAGTGGGGCAGAGAAGCCTCCGAGCCACCGCAGCCATTCCGGACTTATTGTAGCCTCCCCACGTTCCCACCTATAGTATTCCCGTCTCAAGTATAAAGCTGGAGATATCCACAAGAGAGTTGGACAAAAAAGAGGGTCTCCAAAAAAAATTGCGACGCCGGACAGCCAGTATCGGGCAGTCGCAAAAAATGTGCAGGGCCATTAAAGGTTAAAATGTTACAAAAATTATAGTCTGATCGTGTATTTTGCTATTTTACTGGCCAAATGAGAAGAAAGTGAATAACCATCAGGTACAATATAATTTTCGAGTGACAAGAATTATTCAGTATTGCGTTTTTCTCTAAAATGTGAACAAAATTTCTTATTCTTTTTGTTTTTGAAGGTGAGTCGAAACGTTCAGTCGATAATA